GATTAAATAATTCACCTGTTTTATGTCATTGACAACTTCCTCGAATCTTCCATCATCGTTCAATATTTCTCCCAAATCAGTGTTGCTGAGATGATTCAACATCGACAATGCAGCCAGAATATCCATAGAAATTGATGAATTTATTATTAATTCATTATTATTTATTATTAATAAATGTCATGGTTGTTTTTTGATTCCAGGTTTTTAAATCATAACAATTTCCCATCCATTGACTTAGTGGATTAGGCCTACAGGGGATACCACGTTAAAAAAAACGCGTCAAGGGCTCTACCTCTTGGGTGACGTGGAAAGAGATTCACTTTAATTACTTGATTTATGAAAAAATAGTCAATACTGGGTCAGAATCTCTCTTATTAAAATAATCATATACCCATTGTTCATTTTTTTTCATGTCAATTTGAAAGAAAAAAAATCAAACGACTCGACGGGCATTCAAATGTAAACGCCAGAAATCGCTGGCGACCCCCCACTCTAGCGCCGCCTCCAACCCCGCCATTTTGAGTGGGGAGTCAGTCGTTCGGCGGCAGTTCGTGGAACGGTCGGTCGCGTGTCGCGTAGTGAAAATCCGTTGACATCGGGGTCCTATTTGAAAATACAAAGTGCGGGACTCAGTGCAAGTGATTTTGGGATGTGAAATAATGTTTTAAACAGTTTATCAGAGCATTTTGAGTGATTGAGATTTTTCCTTTGTTACACTGAACTTCGATATTGCCGAACGGCCGCCCGGCGTCATTGTGTTTACAAAAATTCTCTTGTCCGTTTCTCGGAATTGTTGAGTGTGTGTTTAGATACGGACTGAAGTGAGAGTGCGAATTAGATTCGAAGGAATACTTTTCTCATTCATCTTATTTTCAATGATTAAAAATATTAGTTGATCTTTGATATTATTTTATTGATCTTTGTGGATTTTGAGTTGATAAAACATTCTTGGTTGTGTGGTGAGTGATTAGTGAATTTTGTCGAACTGTCTAGAGTGCTGGTGCATCCAAGGCGACTTCAACCTCGTCGATGGGAGGATTGGCGTCAGGATCACATGAACATCACCAGGAGTTGGAGGGAATCTTTCAAGCCTCTACAAGGTGAGTTTCGTATGCATTTTTTTAATGACTTTGAAGCATCATTTTCATTTTATTTTCATGTCACTTTTGTCATTCCTGATTCTTGATATATTCAATGCTTATATTACAAACAATTTTCAATTATTCAATTAACT